CTGGTTATGCTGACAAAACCTGCATGTGTACTTTAAGGCTCATCTTTTTCCCCCGGGCCCCATCAGATGAGAAAGAAAGATCTGCATTTGAGTGTGCGCTCTCCCACCTTTTAAAAATAAATTGCCAAGTGCTTCCTACAAATGAATCTGGGAAGAGCAGAGTTTTGTTGTTTTTTTTCCAGCAGGAAAATAACTAAATCAGCCTTCAGACATGATAACCAACTCTCTGCCAGGGCTTCAGGGTTTCTGGAGTTCATTAGCAATGCTTCATCAGAAGTCATCCCAAGGAGTAAACTAAAGAAACTGCTTTATAAAACATCACATCCAAAATGCCTGCATCAGAGAGGAATGCCTGGGAAATACAATCCTTGTGTGGCTTCGGTGAGGAGCGAGGGACCTTTAAACACTATACAATGGCATGGCTCTGCATTGCAAAGACTGACTTTCCACTCTGAACAGCTGCTGAGCAGTCGCCTTCCTGACATACAAAAAGCCAGGAGTCCCTGGCCACTGTCTCCCAGGCAATAGGCAGGGACACAGGACTGAAGGAGCCAGACAAACTAAACCAGCATCACTAGCAGTCCTTGGCCCACAGAGTGTGAGGGAAGGATTTAGGCTCATATCCAACAGTTGTTGCAGCAGACAGGAATGTGTGATTGAGCCTCAAATTGAGAGCTCACTCAGTGTCTTCGCTGACTCCCGATATCCTCCCCTTTCATCCAGCCAGAGAAAACACGTGACGGCAAAGACAGATTCCTTATGGCAGAAGCTGCTGTGATTACCCAGGAGCTGGACAGTGGAAGAGAGGGAGATCTGGAAAAAGAGAAGCCCAATGGACTAGATAATGCTGTAGCTCGTCATCTTCTTTTAGCTGAGTTTTAACTCCCAGACAAATTATGGATGGGCACGCAGTGACGAGTAGCTCCTAACCAACTGAAGCCCAAAGCATTTACTGCTCTTAAGTGAAAAAAATCATTGTTAGGTCAATAAGTAACAAAACCTACTTGTTTATGAGGTAATAACGTAGATAGACTTTCCTTAATAAGCTAGCAAGCACTGTTTTTTCAGTATGATCCTTTTCTAATAACCACAGATGTCCATTTCAAGAAGGCTGTCACAAGACTCTAATACAATTTAAGGGAAAATACTGCTCAAGATGCGATTCCTGTCCTGAGCAGCTTACAAATTAATATTAGACAGAACAAAGGTAACTGTATGGTAGCTAGCTCAAGGAGGTACCGGGATCGGCTAGTTTCTTGTAGGCATAGCCAAAGCAGGCTTTAAGGCAGGACTTCGAAGAAAGATGGCCTTGCAAACACACTCTGTGAGGTCACTCTATACATAAGGCAGGACGAGGCCCATTGTGGCACTAAAAGACAAAGCCTTGAGACTGGTGACACTGGAAGAGGAATGCAAAGCAACAAGGTCAGTTAAGCAGGAAGATTCACAGAAAGCTTGAGAAGGCGAGAAGCAGCTTGGATTTGCTGCAGGGAAGAAACAGGAGGCAGTAGAATAACGTGGAGGAAAAGTGCAAGGGGGGCAGATTAACAAGAAAAGCAGTTTGGTCTTTGCAGCTGCATCTGGATGGACTAAAAGGGTTGCAAGCAAGGGCCAACAGAGCAGAGAAGAAAGTTTCATTGATCAAGACAGGAGACGACGGGAGCTGGCTGAGATATTTAGGCACCCACATGGAGAGAAAAGGCTGGATATTTGGAGCATTTTCAAGCTAGATAAAAGCAGTTGTGGTAACTTCAGTATCCAGCAGCTGGGAAGTCCTCTGGGAATGCAATATTAGTTGTATCATGGTACTACCTAAAATAGGGGCAGGCAATTATTTCGGCCGGAGGGCCGCTCAACGAGTTTTGGTGAAGCATCCAGGCCCATGCAGAGCGCAGCAGGGGCAGCCACCGGTGAGGCTGGATACAATTAATTGGCGGGTGTCTGCCTGCAGGCCAGATCTGGCCCGCGGGATGTATTTCGTCCATCCCTGACCTAGAAGCTGGAGTGAAGTGATGACACCAATGCAAAAGACAAAAGATCAGCAGGTTACTGTCAGGGAGCATCTGGCCCATGCTGGACTGCAGGTTCAGTGCTGCACACAATCACTCGTTGATGCACAACTGTGCTAGAAAATGTCATTAGCAAGCCCTGCCTTGTAGCACTGTCCAAAACAGAGTAGCCCACCTCTAGAAGAGCATAAAGGAGAGGGAAAGGAAAAGAGTGGACACTAACCTCATCGCTCTCCTCTACATCCACGTTGCCGTTGGCGTCATCGTCCATCTGCTTGTGGATGCTGCGGACGGCTTCAAAGCTGAGCTGCTCATCTTCATTGTGACACAGGGGCTTATCGATTCGACAGAACTCTGTTAGGAGAGAAAACATGGGCATTAGGCCGCCTCACTCGCGCTCACATTAAACATTTATTTGAACTGGCAGGTGGCTATGATTACAGTAAACCTTACAAAGTCCAGGGCCTTCATCTTGCAGATTGATGCCTGAATGCCTGTACCCCCTCCCAACACAGCAACTGAGCTCAGAGCAGATGGAAATGCTCATCAGCTGGTGGGATGGGAGGCTGGGCTTTTTGCTTCAAGAAGCGCAACTTTGCTCTCCCTAGTAATGTACTTGTCAGTATTCTCTGGCAAGGATGGGACCTCTAGGGTTGTTTCTGCTTATATGTTGGATGTATTTCCCCATGTGGGTTTCCTGTTTGGCATGGAGATCCTATTATTTGTACTTCAGTAGCATCCAGGAATAGGATATTTGGGGGTGGGGATTCGACTCATTTTGATTTATACAAACAATTCAACAGAGAACTGTGCTTTAGTCCATGCAGAACTGGTCACTTAAAACTTGATACTTCTGGTTCAAAACCAGCACCTGAAACTGCACAGCGCATTTACTAGGCAAACAGGGCTGATGCAAAAGCCCAGGTACCATGCTTATAGGAGGCTTTACAAGTTTTTAGAAATGAGCATCTGGGTAGCATAAAGATCATTTCACCTAACAAGTACCTGAACCAAAGTTACTCTACACTGTTAAGGATGTGAAAGATTTTATCATCCGATTGCTGTTCTGGGGCTTCTATGAAATGAGTCTGATACGACTTAGCTCCGTTGCCAATGGACAAGCGTGAACATCATAAAAAAGCCACCATCACAATTAGCCTTCCTGCTAAAAGTCTCAGCA